GGCATCCACAAACGCTTTTCAGGCGCATCCGGAGAGCGAGCCTGGAAGCGCCGTTTGCTCGTTGGGATCTTTATTAAGCCGCGGGGCCTGCCGCACGCGGCTGACTGCAGGGCGCCTTCCGCCAAGCAGCTCGCGTTTTTGGGACAGGCCCGATGCAAAGAACCCCGCTTGTACACAGAGCTGGTTATATATACCCTAGGACTCCGGTGTATATTTAGAGGAAGCACCTATCATTCTTCTACATATTATAGATATTTACGTACACCTAAAATTATGCGTGCATTTAAGCTGGTGTAAAGCTGCCGTGTACTGATACCACATACTTTGTTTACTGAAAAAAAAAGCTACCATATATATACCATTATATCAATGTAAGTACCCCTATACCAGCACAGCTGCATCGAAGTCCTGGGACAAGAGGAAGTGCGTTGGTATAACTTAAATCGCAAAACGTCCTAGTATAAAGAGGGCCAAACTGCAGCTAACCCCCCAGGGAGAAGCATCAGACTTCTACAGAAGACGGAATGGTGATGCGAAGCGCTGAAGGGGACTACTTCAGACCTCTGTCTTCCCTGCCTCGATTAACATTTGGTCTGTTTTCATCCCATTTACGCTGGTTTAACGCAGTGTTCTCCTCCCCGCCTATTTGATCTGGTTTCATCAGAGGTACTTTTGACACTAAACTGTGTCAGGAGGTGTTTCTGAATCCTCTCTGACAACAGAGAAACCTAACTTCTGACTCCCAAGATGAGGTTACTGGAAGAGAGAGATCAAAAAGTCTATCGGAAAACAAATCTTTCCTAGAAAACATTCGTATTCCCTGTACAGTAGCTGGCATAAAACTTGTAAAACATCGCTAAAAATTGAATTGCTTGGAGCGCTGAAATCTTGATTCTTGAAGGAAATTCCAGGTCTTTGTTGAGAAGTTTCACTGATGCAAAAGGATTTTGTTCCAGGAATGACACCGCGGATAGGCCCCTGCCTGTTATTTCATGACTCTGAGCAAGCCCACGTAGGGTATGCTGGGAAGCACAGCAATCCACGATCTCCGATACCGACAGAGCGTGAGGAAATGGCTGGAGAGCGAACAGCATTCTTCGGCGAGCCCGATTCTCCGCCTGTGTTTTCATGAAGACCCCTCTCTACACAGAGCTGAAAAGATCTAGAGTGGTGTTAAGGCGCTAACTGCCACGCTTGCAAGCAGAGCGTCCAGCGCAACCCACTTCTGTAACATCAGCAAATCTCACTTTGGAGCCCTTGCAAACAACTCCAGTACGAGAAGAGGAATGGGGAACCAGACCCCCACACCCATGCAAACCCTCACGTAAAGAGGGTGAGAAGGGGAAGGCACTCGTGGATGACTTCACCAGTGCCACGTCAAGAATATTTGCAGTTTTGTTGCTCACGGGTTGTTGTTGCCCCACCTCGTTCAAATTCCACTCTCTCTGCGCTGAGAAAAAGGAAGGAACTAGGAAAGACTCCAAATCTGTGACACGTTTCATAACTTAGCCAGTGAATACAATTATAATTCACGATTTCTGCGCTGGGTGGGTTTAGGTGCCCTTTCTGTTAGTCCCCTTGCAGCTCCTTTGTGAGCCGGCTCAGTCTCCCTGATTTCCATTACAGCTATTGTCAGAAATCTATATTGCATCTTCAAGTCTATTAAAAAATTGCTTCCTGTCTTTTTTAGATAATAATATCAGATGCATGTATCAATTTTCTGCAGGAAGACATTGCAGGCAGTATTTGTAAAGGCAGCTGAAGATGCAGGCCCGATTCTGATCCCACTGACATTGCTGTGCAGGGAGGGCAATCTTTCAGGAGCCAACGGAATTACACCAAATGCCCGAGCAACGTGCTTCAGTGCTTTTATGGCAATAATTTGCCTTCAGTGCAAGTTAAATTGTTTGAAAGGAAGCTGTATGTTTCAATAACCTTGTGCTTGTCTAAGCATGACCACGTAACTAGCAGTTTGCTTAAAGGTCTCTTTAATAACGATTTGTTACTGGAAGGTGCGTTTCATTCACTGTATGTTTTTGTCACTTATTTCAAGTGGGTTCTTTTATTTAATTGACAAGATAATTCTAGGCAATATTGTACTTGAGGCTTTTTAAAGTATTTTTTTAGAAAGGTAGTTGTGCATAATTTCAGAAGGCGTTTTCAAAATCGTAGGGATTCGGCATAAATGGAATTTAAATCAGTCATTAAAAGTTAAACCAAGAAAAAAAGAGCAGTCCCCTTTCTGACTGTAGAACCAGGCAGCTGTTGAGTAAAATGATTTGCTAGGAGGCATTCAGGTACGAGGACTGGGAATGGATATTTTATATTTTCAGATTTAACATGGTGCAAATCCATTTTATATAATTTGGATTAATCACTAAGAGGCCGAAAGACCCTTGGCACAAAGCATCCACAAAACAATAGGAAGATACTTCCCTCTTGCTTTCTGTTTTTTAATCATGCAACGCAAGTATCACGAGAGCAAATAGGTAAAACAGCAAAGTATAGATGTTCTGTACCAGAGCGCTCATACGTGGCCATTGGGAGATGACAGGACGGGTCACGCGCTGCAACTCGCGCCTCTTCGGCTCCTAGCAGAAACCCTGCCTCAGATGCACTCGGTGACAAATCTCTGGCCACCAGTCAAGATATCCCCCCTCACTTCTCATCGTGCCGCTCTCTGCTGCGGTACCAAAGATCTTCTCAATTCCTTACGCGCTCGCTTTTCAGATTATCCAGTCCGAGTTCCAGAATACAACAGGCCCTTACATTTCAGCAAGCACACCTTCTAATGACTCAGGCTTAATTTGAAAGCCTCAAGACCTAAAAAATCCCTTAATTATCTAATGTGCTGTGAACAAAATACATCTCATTGTCCTTTCCCAGGGTTTCTGAAGTTTACCTTCTTGTGCGTCTTTTGCTAAAACTGAGTTATTCGGGGCAATGTCTTTTATACTTTGCATAGGGATAACCATTAACTGCGAATAAGAAATCATGTCGACCTGTATATTCTTCTCTTTATCAGACTATACAAACAGAGACTCACAAATTATCACAGACGGAAGTTTTTTCCCAACTTTGAGTGTAAAAAATGTCACCCCTCATGTCTAGTGGATTGGTTATTCCTACTCAAATAACTAGCAGGTGGAGTTCCGGAAGTCTCACAGAGTCTGCCGATCTTACTCTCCTTCCTGTGCCAGAAATGGAATATTCCCTTTTTTCCCCTTCTTTCCAACCGATAACTACCGTGAGTCATTTCATGTCCATTGGTGCGTCGTGTCCTTCTCATGTTTCCCAATAATAATTTATACTTTGTTTCACAAGATGAATTGCTCCGTGCTAGCGTGAACAGAGATCTACAAATGTCCGCGCACAGTATCACAGATGTTTTCCAAGTAACAGCTGCAGAAACATTTCCAGCATAGTTCTATCTTAAGCTACCATATCCAGGCACATTTCACTAACATACTCTTGATACTTGCCAGAAGAAATAATTCAGATGTACTTTCTCAGATGTACAGTCAGTAGGTAGCTCTGCCTGTCCGGAAATATCTGGGTCGAACTCAAGAGTTCAAACCGCCTAACCTTGTATTTAGGATCGCATATCACACGGTTCCCTAAATACTTACAGAGCGTGCAGAAAATCCTCCAACACCTCGCCTAATCTGGGTCTGCTGTCCTCCTGCTGTCGCCGCAGTCGGTGGCAAAGCTCCCGTCTCCTTCAGTGGAAGAAAAGCCAGGCCCTGGCAGCAAGGATTCCGGAGCGAGGGCAGGAAAGGAAGACTGCTGTATCCAGTGGAGCTGCCAGGTGATTTTTAGCAAACGGGAGCCTATCTCACTTTTGTAAAATCTGCAACCTTTCATCTATCCAAACGAGCGTCGGCGAACGTGATCCTGACCCACAGAGAAACGTGCGAGTCACTATGTTACTGGGCAGCAAATTACCCATTTCAAGAGGCATGTATACAAGCGTCACAGAAATACCATACATTTTGCAAACTTAAACACTCCTACAGTGCTGATATGAACTCTCCAGGACATAAAATATCCAATTATAGATGACGATGTCTACAGTGAAGTATAACCACAGTCAGGTAATTAACGTGAACTGCCTTTAAGTAGTCACATGGAGAAAAGGAAGGACTTTTTATGTTCTGGAAGGGAAAAATGTAAGAAAACCGGTATTAAATGAGCCAGAGAGAATGAGTTTTTAAGGTACTGTTACTCACAGTTTCTCCCTTCCTGAAGACCATGATAAAGTCGCTTTAGCTGAAGGCGTGTTTGGAGTAGGGATGCCTAAGGGTTCGACACAGCTGTCGTTGCCTTGATTTACCTCCACGTCCGTTCCCACGCGCTTACCCGTCGTCTTTGTTACACGCAACGTGGAAAACTATTCAGCCTCATTTAACTTTGAAATTAGCCCTGCTCGGAGCAGTTTGGCCTAGCAAACCTCCAGAGGTCCCTTCCCACCTCAGTCGTTCTTCCATTTTATGACTATTTATTGCAGTTAACACCTTTGCGTTTATAATGCCCATTTACTTGTTGATCGTGAATTGTGAAAGTAGGTCATTTTCTGCTTCTCCTGTACTGCCCTATTACCACACTGTTTTGCTTCTAGCACTATAAAGAAAGGCCATAAGAAATTATACTGTAGTTTAGAAAGCGATTCAAGTAAACGCATCTCTTCAAACCAAATTATACAAGAATTAAACTAAATGGCAGGTGATGACTACTTGAGAAGAGTTTTTCGAAAATCGGGCACCATTGTATCCTTTAGAAGAGCAGGTCAAAAAGATTTGGATACAGACAGTTAAACTACGAAGGATTTTTTTCCCCACAGTAACTTGGATTCGGGCACGTAGATCATGTATATGAAACAAAATTAAGGAGAAATGTGCATGAGATATTACTATCGGCTAGCCGTTCCACTATCTCATTCACGCTGCCAATACTAAAAGGGTAAAACTGGAAATGCTGTAGAGGAGGAGATACGTTCCTACCTGCTGCTGGCGTCCTCGCATGCCGCAACACGCGTTTCTGACTAGTCCTCTATTTTCGAGGAAGAACGACTGATTTCCAGGTGCGATCCCTAGGGTGAGGGACACAGTCTGAAGGTTTTACTCTTACCAAGTTAAATGGAATAGATTTGGAATAGATTAGAACATTTTCCAAACAGCAAAGCAAACCGCAGAAAATATCTGTTCTGGTTGAGAAAATTACATTACGGGGCTGTTATATTTAGTAAAAATAAATCAGGTAGAATGGTTAATTTACTGCCCGCAGCTCTGCTCTCCGAATTAATCACTGAATGTGAGAGAGGTACTTCATTTGCTAAATGTAAGCACGTATTTCACTGTTCTGGCTGAAAGCAGAAGTGTGTCTTGGTGTTTCAAGAAGCTCTGTGGTGGGAACAGATAGCAAGGGAATCTTCTTCAGCTCAAACAGAAGGGTTTGTTTTCCTAGTAAATAATTTATATTCCCGCTGTTAGGAAGAAGTTGCGAGAGACTGTCGGAAAGCAGCGTGGCAACAGCTACGAAGTCGTAAGAGGCCGCGGAGATGTTACACTTGATCTGGCACTCCTGTAATCCAGCTTATGATGATTTCTAACGTCAGCAGGCTGCTTTTAACACGCGATTCTGCGGACTCGCAATCAAAACCAAGCGGCTACGTCCCTGAGACTGCCTCTCCCTGCATGATAGGCGATAGCTTCTGATAAGGGAGAGCACTAAAACTGACAATTGATTTTTAAAAGAGACAGAGCAGATTGCACAATTGCACAAGTTGTTGACTGCACGCATGCCATGGCTGCTCCTTCTGTTATCGTTATTTAAAAATGGATTTAGGTATCGGAGACACTTAGCGTGCAAGCCATTTTATTTTTTGGTTAAACTTTTTTTTTTTTCAAAAGCTGACAAGTATTTGGAACAGGGAGTTTATGTCGCTTTTTTTCTCATCTGCTTTGGAAAAAGTAAACCAAGGTAGAGTACTTTGGAAAGGGGGCTCGCTTGCTGCTAGTCTCTCTTACTGGCCAGATGCTTCTTCCTGTTCCATGCCAGGACAACAATTTAGCTTCAGTTTCATGCATGGAACAGCTGAATTCTGCTTGTGAAACTGAAGCCAGGGTTTGTCCGTCCAGCTGCAGTGGAAATCTACATTTTAAGCTGAAGGAAATGGAAGGAGCCTGCGTCTAGTTTCTTTTTTTCCTTTGCCACATACTTCAGGAATACTAGATTTTTTTTTTTCAAAGGGCAGTTCATTATTGCCTGTAAGAACAAGCATAGCTAACGTACTTAAAAGGTAGAACAGCCTTATAATTTCTGTGTACCGACTTCCACACTACTTACTTGGAAAATTAGCATTCCATTGATTGATTCATTGCGCAGAAAGGATAAGACTTGCAAAAATAATTAGCGATTTTGGATAGTTCGGTTTTCACAGAGGTCAAAGACAGTTCAGTGCTCAAACCCATTTCGTTCCTCTTTGAGCGTTCCTATGTGCTGAGGATTTTTATTTGATGAGCACTAACTCCCAGGAAGCTGAGCAAAGTCTTGTCAGGTAATTTCACCATAAACGATTTTTTAGGATTCTCCTCGTTTCCTTCTGTTGCGTTTCCCAATGTTCCACAATGTTGTTTTGCAAACTGTGCCTCTAGACAAAGAAAACGGAGCGTAACTTTTTTCGCAGCTTTTGAAAAATCGCTTCCCGAGAGTCTGTTTCATTCCAGTCTTTGAAAACAGGAGTTCCCTCCAAGAAGGGGAGTATTTCCGAGCCCTGAGTAAGCCTCCGTATGATATTTCGTCAGTGCTCTCAGCACACATCTCTCTCCTGACTGCTTTGATGAGCACGCGGATGCCTCTGCGAGGGTTTCCTCCCCCAGCGGCCCAAGCTCAGCCTGACTCCAGGCAGGCAGCGGAGATGCTCCAGGCCCTTCCTCTTTCGTGATGAACGTGACTTCTGACGAGAGCTCTGCTGCTCACCAAATTTTACGTCTGAGATCCGTTTGGAAAAGAACAACAGGACTTTTTCATTTCATTTTTTTTAAGGTTTTGTGTGCTTTGTTCTTTAAACCAACATCAAAATTGCCTTCTCTGGGCTGATCAAAACTTGCTTGCTATTTTAAAGATCTCAGGTAAGCAAGAAATAATAAATAAGTTATATAATGGTTGGAGTCAAAGGACAAACACGGCACTAACTAGGCTTATTCTGCCACACTACGCTGAACTCGACCAGCTAAATCCAAACAGCAATTACTATTGAAAGTTTGCATGTCTCTAGCCCCTCGGGATATGCAAATGCTTTACAAAGTATTTTAATTTAGCCTCACAACCAGCCTGACATAAGGGTAAATTTATCCTTGTTCTGAAGTTGCTGTCTGCACACATCTTTGCACTCATCAAGTTTGCTTGTCCGTGCTGGACCTTGGGTGCACATAAGTTGGGTGGATATGAAAATTAGTATTAACCTTTGCATCTGCGGGTTTAACTGACTGGTCAAAAGTCATGCAGTGAGGAGCGCTTGGGTCTCCAAAGCAGAACACAGAGCCAAACCACAAGACCATCTGTTTTTCCCTCTGAAGGGTGTTTAAACAGCACAGATATTTCTATCTGCTGCAAGGATACACGTCCTTCCCTTTTCCACATACTAAGCTGAAAGGCAGGTACTACAAATGCCTTATACGTGGGATTTTCTTGTTTCCACTAACGTGGAGCTCTCACTGGTCTAACATTTACTGGTTTGTCACATCCCTAGAGCCCAGGCTGCGTTAAGGCAGTGGCCACCTGTGTAGTTACACTTGCATGCCATCACGCTGTCTCGGTAGCCAGGCTGGGACACGCTTCGTTTTGTTATGACCGGAGCAACCCATGTTGCTGTAAGCCCCCTGCACGCCTGGGCAGCGAGTCCACTGTACCTGCTGCCCGTGCCAATGCAGTTGTCCTGTCAAGTCTCTTTAAAAGAGATGTGCTTCATTTCCCCCCCCAGGGATGAAGAGGCCTTCTCCCTGCTACCGAAGCGTACCTCTTCCTTGGCTGACGTGGCACTTGGGGTCTTTATACCGCTCCAAGGTGTCAGATTTTTGCACAGTGCGTCAAGTCCCTGCACGCGGAACACCTGCTCCTAATGGTGTAACGGCCTTCCTCCAGGTGCGCTTCATTACAGTCACCGGGTAAATTTTTTTTTCCTAGGTTTAATATTGCATCTTTCGCTTTCCCCCCGGGCCACAGGCCCAAACACAGAGAGTTCTTGCTGGTTGCATCCGTCTCTTTCTCTCTCTAAATGCCTTGGCCTTGGCAGCCACTTACTTGTGGCAGCCTGCCCACCATAACCCTCAGCTGCTCTGGGCACATGCTGCGTCTTTCTTCTCGGAGCGTGTACAACCGTGCTGCAATTTTGACCCCTGGGCGGTTGTGCCCAGACCTAGGCCACCTCCTGCAGAGGCTGGAAGTGGTCCTGGGAGACCTGGCCTTCAACTGACCACCCTGCTAACACGACCTGCTCTGAGGTCCCTCCTGCGCCAGCTCCTCGGTCCCCAGGATTTCCTTCGGAAGGAGTATCGATCCAGTAGCTGACTCGTTTATTGCGCTGCTTTCAACTCAGCTGGGTGCTGCCTCAACTGTCCCTTCCTACTGTTACTGAGGACAAAGGACTTTCATCATACGTACCCAGCTGAGGGCATATGCGGCACAAGACGAATAAAAGGAACTCTGTTGCGGTATGTTAGCACTAGAGGTTCCGGCCAAACCATCGATTCCGCAGTCTGCTGGTCTGAGGATGTGCCGCACCGCCGTGGGCTCCCAGCGCTGACATGCGAAACATTCTGGGAAGGGCCCTGATGGAAATCCCCTGAGCAAAGAGTCAGAATATGCAAGAACTGCTGTAGCTGCGGGATTGGAACGATCTGGGGACAGTGTCGATCAGACCCCCAGCAAGAATTTCCCAGCTAGGAGCATCAGCTCAATTATCTTCACTTGGTCACTGCCGCAAACTACCAGCGGGCTGACCGATTTTGGAAAACCCTAACAGCTTCACAGACTTCTTAAGCTCTGATCCTTAAACAATGAGACCCAAAAGAATTAGAATGAAATTAAGAAAGCTAGATAAAATTCCAGTGGGACTTGCCCTTCTCTGCACGTTCTTAGTTCTAAAAGGCATATCCTATTTCAAGACAAAAAGTAAGAAAAAGGGAAGGGAGCAGCACACCGTCGGTTCACCCTAGGCACAGAGGAGTTTGGTTGCTGCAACAAAAAAGGCCTTTCATTTCAGCCTTATAAGCGTGGCCTGAGAGTTACTAGAGAAAGGGTTAAAGAAGCTTATGACAGACGAATTTTTAGCAAACTGATTCAGAGTTCATTTGTCAGGAAATAAATGGAAAAAAATTTTTCTATGCTCTCTCTACGCTTGATTTATGTCTCTGTGCTGATTATCTCCAGAGGAAATCCTCCTTTGTGTGCTGTCTGAACAGCTAATAACTACAGATACTGGAAGGAGTTTAAAGAAAACGAGTTGCCTTTGCTCTGAACTTGTTGCTTTTATCTGTTAATTTGAAACTCTAGTGGTATAGCAAGGTTTTGCCACTCATCTTCACAGTGCCAGGATTTTCATGCAAAGTATTTAGTCTGTTCCCGGTCTTTACTGTGCAGTATTGGAACACACCCCCAGCCCCCTCCGGGAAAAGAAAACAAACTTACGTTACAAAAAATCTGGAGACTCACAAGTTCAGCTGTCCAGTTCTTAAGTCGAGCGGACAAAAGGAATAAGTGGAGCTGTGAGAGGACATCTGGGCTTCCCTGGCACCTCTGTCTTCTGCCCTGTCAGTGGGGCTGCCCCGGCCTGCCGCCGGGAAAGGAGGAGGACAGTGAATCCCTCCCGCAGGGGCAAGGCCCGCGTCAGTAAATAAAGCAAGCAAAGGGTAAATTCCCGTTTAGGTCTCTCAGGCAGCCCCGGGGGGCTCTCGCCCAGCAAACGCAGGCCGGGTGACGCCGTACCGAGGTAAAAGCAGCGAGACCTCGACGCTTTTTGCCG